GGTATGAATGTTAAATTTTATACAATTTTCTGATATTTTATGTTTGTTACATCATTTCATTACATAGTAGTATAGTACGCTGTACGATTTGATATCACCACATTTTCAGTTCGGATTTCTTTTTTTTTTTTGTAATTTATTTGTTTATATTCTATAAAAAGGTTTAATAAATTAGTTAACCAGAAGAATTCTTGTGTTAAAGTCTTTTTAGCTAATAATGCCGTTAATTAATCTTTTTTTTTAATCATTGTGGGTCCCAGCTGCTGTCGGAGAGAGATTCCTAGCGCGTGACATCACTTTCCAGAACACGGCGGGTCCGTCGAAGCACCAAGCGGTGGCTCTCCGTGTCGGCTCCGATTTCTCCGCCTTCTACCAATGCGACATGTTAGCTTACCAAGACACACTCTACGTCCACTCTAACCGTCAATTCTTCGTCAAATGTCTCATCGCCGGAACCGTCGACTTCATCTTCGGAAACGCAGCCGTCGTGCTCCAAGACTGTGACATCCACGCTCGCCAACCAAACTCCGGTCAGAAAAACATGGTCACGGCTCAAGGACGAACGGACCCGAACCAGAACACAGGGATCGTTATCCAGAAATGTAGGATCGGTGCCACGTCGGATTTACAGTCGGTGAAAAGTAGTTTTCCGACGTATCTTGGTCGGCCGTGGAAAGAGTATTCGCAGACGGTGGTGATGCAGTCGGATATCTCCGACGTGATCCGACCCGAAGGTTGGCATGAGTGGACCGGAACTTTTGCGTTGAATACTTTGACTTATAGAGAGTATGCGAATAGAGGAGCAGGGGCTGGAACTGCAAATAGAGTTAAATGGAGGGGTTTTAAGGTAATTACTGCTGCTACTGAAGCTCAACGATATACCGCTGGTCAGTTTATTGGTGGTGGAGGTTGGTTAGCTTCGACCGGTTTCCCTTTCTCGCTTGGTCTTTGAGATATTGAAAATTATTGTTTGTTGCTCGAATAATTATTGATTTTTTTTTTATAAATGAATCAAATTGTGTTTGCTTTGTGTTGTGTTTTTTCTAGAGATTTTAGTATTAGAAATTAGATGAAAATTTGGCGAATGTTTGCGCCAAAAGAATATGGATTTGTGAGAGAATTCAGAGTTTGTTGCCTATTGGCTGATTTGATGATTATGGTTAATGTCGTAATAAGAATTAAAACAAAAAAAATGCATTTCCCTTATACTAACTTTTATCCCTTTTTGTTGTTGTCCTTCATTTGTCATTTGATATACGTAAATATATAAGATACGATTCGATTACGTTTTTTTTTCAGAGCCAA